AGCCGAGACGAGCGGACGCACAACTCTGGAGCTCCGTGTTAAAACCGGAGAAATCAAGCCTAAATACAGCCTATATTACCCCTACTAATCACGACCACACACAGGAACCCCTCAAGCACGATGGGACGCAAAAATAAAAAACAGATGCCCGACAAACCAGCCCCAGGACTAACAATAGGGGAAATGTGGCGGCAAGCACGCGGCCCGAGTGAAGCCAATATGGCGGCGCTCCACGGACTTCTTGGACAACTGCTCAGAGGGAGCCGAAGAGGAACACTTCCGAGCCCCTGACCCAACACCTGATGCCGACCTGGCAACCACAGGGGTGCTAAAAACCCTACTAGCAGATTTACAGAAAAACATCCTTGCGGATGTCACAGCATTAAGGGGAACGCTGCAGGGCCTCATGGGCCGAATTGCTGTGTTGGAGGACTCCTCTCAAGAAAGCCAGCGCACTATTGCCACATTGCAGAGAGATGTGCAAGAACTGAGCCGCAAAAACATGATGCTCGAACGGCGCCTGGACGCCCAGGAGGACGCAAGAAGGAGACACAACATAAAGGTCAGGGGGATCCCGGAGGGGCTACCGGAGGCAGAATTGCCGCACACGATCAGGCACCTGCTGACTACTATACTGCCCCCAGGTCAAACTAAACCCATCACTCCCACAGATCTATTCCGGATCCCGAAACCTGCCAGGGCCCCAGACGCGTCCACAAGGGACACTATCCTTACCTTCAAAAATAGATCAGACAGGGGGGGAGTGGCCTGGACTCCGAGAGTGATGGCAGCCTAACTCCGGAGCTCCGCACCAGAGGCTCTGCAATCACACCCGGTAATCAGCTCCTAACGTCCGTGTAGACCCCTACCAGCAGCGGTAACACTGAAGAGGCTCCCACGAAGCAGAATGTCACACCGGAAGGCGGCGGCCAAGAAACACAGAGGCAGCAACCCCTCAGTGGCGGACATGCTTGCCGCCATTAAACCCGCGCCACGTGGCGCCCAACGGGCACCTCCTCACTTGGCTCACCAGCAATGCCATCATCACCATATGGGCAAACACAGGACCCCCAGAATGCCATACTGCTCTCCCTCGAAGAGGTAAAGGGGTACTTGGCTGGGGAAATAGACAGAACAGCAAGGGAGGTGAAGGCAGAGATCCAGGCTATCGGCATTAGAACAGAGGCCTTAGAGAGCAGGCTAGAAGAGGTGGTAGCAGCACACAATGACACTACCACAGCCACCAACGCGCTACTCACCAGGATAGCTGACTTAGAAATGGAACTGGAAGATAACTCCAACAGAACAAGGAGCAACAACATGCACATCAGAGGCCTACCAGAAGAGGTCAGAGATGGCGAATTAGAGCAAATAATAGCGGAAATATTCCGCGCCAGCTTGCCGCAGATCCCAGAACCACTGTGGCACATTGACAGGGTGCACAGGGCACTGAGAGCCAAAGGTCCGCAAAATAGCCCTCCCAGAGATGTCATCATTAGGTGGCATTTTTATTCCACAAAAGAAGCAATACTCAAGCAAAGCAGGATCCAGCAATACATGTATAAAGGAGTGGCGCTGCAGATATACCAAGACATCGCTCCAACTACCCTTGCACGAAGAAGAGAATGGAAACCCATCGCAGACCTTGTCAGAGCCAAAGGCTTACGCTTCGCATGGGGCTTCCCCTTCAAGATGCTCATATTTAACGGCCCAAGACCCACAGTGCTAACGCCGTCCATGGATCCTAGGGGCGTCCTCCGAGACCTGGGCATCGAGGTTCCTGGAGATCTTACCTTAACATCAAGGGGCCCCAGGGCACAGAGCAAGACTGACATAGGAAGAGATGAAGACGTTCTGCACCGGAGGGACACGAAAAATGGACACTGTGACACGCAAGTTGACACACAAAGCACCACACTAAAGGGACACTGTGGTTATTGCGCAGACTGAAATGGTGTAGGGGACAGAGATGACATGGGGCCTACAGAATGGTGGGGGGGAAGGGGAGGGGGATAGATACAAGAACAGATATAGCACAGAGGGGTTAAAAAAAAAACAAAACAGTGGTAACATTAATGCACTCCTTGGGGGGGCAGGGAAGAATTAACACCAACCCTCTTTCTGAAAAGCACAAGATATCCCAGAGGTATTCAGGAAGGTATATAGTTAAAGGGAAAAGGGCACAGACCAGCCCAAACAACCGGTCGTAAACTTGCTCATAGCTGGGCTCCTATATTCCGAGCTTTTCAAGCCGTCCCCTACCATGGGCCATTGCTACACGATAAATGGAATAGGGAGGGAAGGGCAAGAACCTATACACCCACAACCCCCAGCCCACGCGAGGAATAGATAGAGTGGACGCAACACAATTTAGACAACGCATCACCACCAGCACTTCCGTGTAATGAGGAACACATTGACAGGACGCCAGCGATTACGATGGTCTAGGCTAGAAGTAGGGATACAGGTACCCAAATAGTACAGGGGAAACCGTACAAAACTATATTTTAAATAAAAATTAAAAGGGGGAACAAAAAAAAATAAATAAAAACCTTCAGCGGACAGGCTCTTGTAGCCGGAGTCCAAAACACCTCATGTCATAGTTACTCACCACAGGTTAGACATATGGACAGAGCCTCGCGAGGGTGCTCGATGGCTGTACACCCGCCCAGTCTGAGAATTCCTTGGCGCGGCGGGTGGCCACCCCCGATCGACCTGGCGAGAGATAAGACCGGGATGATAGATCCGACAGGGACGAGGATCATGGAGGGACTCCCTCCACCATGTTTTGTTTATTGTTCTATCTGTTATGTTACAGGGATACTGATACATGTTTTTGTAATTAGTGATGTACCGAACGGTTCGCCGGCGAACGGTTCCTGGCGAACATAACATGTTCGCGTTCGCCACGGCGTGCGAACATATGCGCGGTTCGACCCGCCCCCTATTCGTCATCATTGAGTAAACTTTGACCCTGTACCTCACAGTCAGCAGACACATTCCAGCCAATTAGCAGCACAGCCTCCCTAGCAGACCCTCCCACCTACTGGACAGCATCCATTTTAGATTCATTCTCAAGCTGCATGCTTAGTAAGAGGAGGGAAAGTGTAGCTGCTGTTCATAAGATAGGGAAAAGCATAGCTAGGTTAGGGATAAGGGTATGCTTTTTTTGGATTTTTTTTTTCTATGTAATGTAAATGCACTTAGTTGTCTGCCACTGCTGCCAGCTTCTGTGTCAGGCTCACAGTGCCCATTTCCCCAGTCAGTGCCACCAATTACATCTGGTGTCACAATAGCTTGGATTTAAAAACAAAAAACTTTTTTCACTGTTATAGATTGAATAGCAGTCAGTTGTCTGCCACTGCTGCCAGCTTCTGTGTCAGGCTCACAGTGCATACTGTGCCCATTTCCCCAGTCAGTGCCACCAAATACATCTGGTGTCACAATAGCTTGGATTTAAAAAAAAAAACTTTTTTCACTGTTATAGATTGAATAGCAGTCAGTTGTCTGCCACTGCTGCCAGCTTCTGTGTCAGGCTCACAGTGCATACTGTGCCCATTTCCCCAGTCAGTGCCACCAAATACATCTGGTGTCACAATAGCTTGGATTTAAAAAAAAAAACTTTTTTCACTGTTATAGATTGAATAGCAGTCAGTGTCCTTAAAGCGGGTGTGTTACGCTAACAGTGGATACGGTGACCATTGCCAACACTTAGATCTGGTGACACAAAGCTTGTATTTAAAAAAAAACAACCACTTTTTTCACTGTTATATATTGAATAGCAGTCAGCGTCCTTAAAGCGGGTGTGTTACGCTAACAGTGGATACGGTGCCCAGTGCCACCACTCACTGGTGTCACAATAGCTTGCATTTAAAAACAAAAAACTTTTTTCACTGTTATAGATTGAATAGCAGTCAGTGTCCTTAAAGCGGGTGTGTTACGCTAACAGTGGATACGCTGACAAGTGCCACTAATTAGATCTGGTGTCAATAGTTTGGATTTAAAAAAAAAATAATCTTTTTTCACTGTTATAGATTGAATGCGTCCTAAAGCCGGTGTTACGCTTAACAGTGGATACGCCGACAAGTGCCACTAATTAGATCCCGTGTCACAATAGTTTGGATTTAAAAATAATAAATCTTTTTCACTGTTAGATTAATAGCAGTCAGTGTCCTTTAAAAGCTGGTGTGTTACTTAACAGTGGATACGCCAGATTGCGCCACTAATTAGATCCTGTGTCACAATATTTTGGATTTAAAAAAAAAATAATCTTTTTTCACTGTTATAGATTGAATAGCAGTCAGTGTCCTTAAAGCGGGTGTGTTACGCTAACAGTGGATACGCTGACAAGTGCCACTAATTAGATCCTGTGTCACAATAGTTTGGATTTAAAAATAATAATCTTTTTTCACTGTTATAGATTGAATAGCAGTCAGTATCCTTAAAGCGGGTGTGTTACGCTAACAGTGGATACGCTGACAAGTGCCACTAATTAGATCTGGTGTCACAATAGTTTGGATTTAA